AACGCCCTTTCTCCTTCTGACTTACCACCTGGGAATCGAATTTTCGCTACTACTACGGTAAACCTAGATTGATTTAATTATTAAATTATAGGATAGATAGGCAATGGTTTTGAGTTCAGGAAATCCACTTTACTTAATAAACGAGTATTATTCCCAAGCATAATAAGTCGGACGACAGCGCGTAGTCCATAAATGCCTTAACCTTTTCTTAAAATCGAATAATAAATTAGAACTTTCGGTACCGCAAGCAAGACAGCACTGTTGCAATGAAACATAGTCTACGATCCTTACATCACGCGTTTTATGGTAAGTGCTCACGAGACAAAAAAGGTTCAGTTAGTCTTTTTGAAATAATTAAGTCAGAGCGTATGCGTTCGACAACAGAAACCGTTTGGGGATACCGTGGAGGCTCAAACGCACAAAGGGTTTTTCACGCAGCTATAAGATAATAAATAAGACAAGGCCTACTATGCAGTGGAACCTCGGGTTAACGAGTTTAATCCACTCCGACACCGAGCTCGTCATGCGAAACACTCGCCTTGCCAAACGTAGCCAATCAGACTGCACCAATTCATTGATCGGCTGCAGGCGACTGAGGACCCACGCCCTGGGGGAGCAGTACTCAACGGCGGACACAGGCACACTCACACGCACTGAGAGCTCGTTAACTGAGCGGAAGCTCGTCAAGCGAGACAAATATTCTGCTCGTGGTTCGCTTGTTACCTGAAGTGCTTGTCAATCTACTTTGATCTACTGTTAATCTACTTTATCCCATACAGACTGGGAGTGCATACTGGATTCGGGCTTCCTACAGGCACATACAGGCCATATCATAATATCCTAGTAACTGGTCTTAGTAACTATAGTTACTAGAATTAGCAATTTAGCATAGGCTAGTACTTATAGCAGCTTTATCTTAGTCCTCGTAGTCCAACTATTAGTTGAAAAGGACACAGCCTGGGAGAATAGAGTTGAGAGGGCGATAAATATGGCAAGCCCTGATGTTCTTAGGGTACCAAACCTGTATCTACTCGAAATAACATAAACACAAATTTTCCATACCTTGCTGAAGACAAAGGAGGTATGAGCCCCAGCGTTAATTTTCAAATCAACGTCACTTCTGACACATCTTTGCGTCAGAGATAGTATTGATACTACTAAGACTCGGCTACATTGATAGTGAGTAGTAGAAGAAACAGTAGCACCATATCAGTCTGAGCCTCCTTGGGCCTGCCTTTACACCTTCTATGGGTGAGTAAGGGTAGATAGCACAGTAGTACCCGCGCAAAGTCTACTGTCGCTTAAAACTAAGTTAAGCGGTGTTTTGGCTTGCGCTGGCGAAAGCGGCCTACGCCGGGCTCCGTTTAATTTTCTTGACTCCGGGCGAAGGTGGAGAGTGCGGTTGGCGCTAACTACGTCATCTATCGCTTTAAACTACCCCTTGAGGCAGTCACCTTCTGTGCCAACCTGTTGATGCATTTGGTGGACTTCATCGAAACCGATGGTCGAACACACACACACACACACCTGAAGTGCTTGTAGATGGAGCTCCACTTTAGTAGGTAGATATGTATAGTAAACCCACTGGAGTTACACAACCTAGACTTACCTTAAATTATGTCAGAAAATAGGCCAAGAAGACCGGCAGATAGAATGAGTAAACTAATTCCTCTCAGTTTTG